GTGGTAGCCTACGTTTTCTGTCTCCATCTTCTTAGCTATAATCCTTCGATCAATTGTTGCTGGTTATTATTTTGATCCAGGAGCCACACACACATATATAGTGGTCAGACAAATTATTGACCAGCCAGCTAGGCAAGAACAGTTCCGATTAATCATGCATATCTGCAAAGAGCTTTATCATTAATATATTCTGTCATATCATTCTAGCACACTCTCACTTTTTCAAAATAATAAAAAAAAAAATTCACGTGAATCTACTTTTTGGGCGGTTTGTTAATGTAAGATCGATAGCCAAGTTTTGAAATTGAGATTTGCGAAAATAATTATAAAGGCTTCAATTGGTGGTGTATTATAGATTTTTTTAAATATTTATTCAATTATATCATTATATAAACGTTGAATTGCTTTGTGCGTACTAATCACAGACTTCTATTAAAGCTTTGCTTCTTTTTTTCCCCCTTGATCTTTATCCAATCATATCATCATACGAACGTGTGGAAAAAGGGCACTCTTCTTTATAATAAAATATTCATGAAAAAAGAGACATGAATAACACGGGAAAAATGAGCTTCTCTATATGAAAATGATTTACTCGCCTTAATTTGGTCTATTAATTATTAAAGAGATTAGCAGATCACGCAATTAGGTGTTTCGTTGACCATATTGTACGCGGAACCAGCTTCCCTGTGCTCATCAACCGACATGCACCGTTTCAATTAATAGGAGCTGGTAGGGGTTCCATCCAATCATTGCTACAGTGTTGCTAACAACTCAAACGAAGTTGTTTTGGTGTGAAGTAAATTATTATAGTATTCTAATTATAAAACTTTATTTGTAAACTATAAACGAATTTTTATAATTAGTGACCGGGAGGTTGTACTTTATATGTATCACGATTATCAAAAGAGACACAGGTTTTTGAGGGGAAAACTTTCAGACACAAATGGCTATCCTTAATCAGATTTTTTTTGGGCCTGGTATCCTTAATCAGAATCAATGGTTATAAAAGTAAAACACAATGTGCGTTAAAATTCAACGTGGTCGCATGTAAGTCAGATGAAAATCAGCAATGTACAGATGCCAATGAACAAGGCAAAAAACAGTTTCACCACCAATAAGTAGTTCACGTATAGCTTCCCTCTTTGCACCTGCAAGTCTCAAAGCAAAGCTCGAAATCGCTATATTAAGTCCCAAAAAGAAACATCCAATAAATTTTATAATTAAGGAAAAACTTTTTCCTCTCGAGAAAACGCCGCTTCGATCGCTCTTCTTCAAGAGGCCAATATCATCATCGAGGTACCGCAAGTCTTCCGGCAAAAATTAGACCACATCATCAAAAATTGAACTTTGAAACCCCTATAATCCCAAATCCCACATCACAGAGTTCCAAGTTTCAGATTTGGCATAAGATTGGAGACTCAATGCACCGTCCAATGACAGCCACCGCCGATAAGGCTCGCAAGTGATGAGGCTCATGGAAAATCTGCTCAGCCAATGAGCGAAACTGAGTGGTATGTAGCCTTTCCACTAAGATAAAGAAATTTCAAATTTCAGAATTCGATGGTTAGGATTATTAAGCAATCAATGGCCAAGATTTCTCTCTCAATGATAAAAACGGAGCGTTTCGGTGATGAGCATCAACCGCTTAGCAAGGAGTTTCTGACGTATCTAGGAAATCATTAAACATATCACTTTTACTCTTATTAAATAGCTAGCTACTTTTTTCTTTTTTTTTGCCCCTCAACCATTCTCTCTCTCTTCACTTTTACATTTGTCTCCCTTAATTAACAGGGATAGAATTGAAAATGAAGCATTAAAAAATATACAAGTAACAACTAAAATCTCATCCTACAAGTGACAATTAAAAATGATCAGAGTTGTACTCTTCCATTCCTTAATGTAGGATTTAATTGGAGAATTAATGTTCGTCTTAAATATAAAACCTATTTCATATAATTATCAACTTTTTTCCAAATTAACACTATTGATATTTCCTCAATAATAATCAAGTAGGAGAGGGATGAAGAGAATTAAAAAGATGTTTAGGGTATTTTAAAAAAATCATATTAACTAAGTCAACTAATATCCTTAATATACTCAAATTAGTTAATTAAATCTTACATTAAAAACAAGAGAAATAGAAAAAGACACATTTAATTACTTAATCGAGACATAAACAACGTCTATACCAACTAAAAATTCATTTATTTAAAAAACTAACAAGCAAAGAGTGTTTAATTATAAGGAGACCTGCTATGAAGTTTTAGAGTAATAAATGACAAATACTCACTTCTTATTGAGACTTACTAATGATTATTTTCTTTTGTTAGGACCCATTCTAATTCTCCCTTAATTCTATTACCAAATGAGTCAACATGGATTAAAGAGGGATAATTAAGATCAATATTGAAAGAGCATATAAATGAAGAGAACAAAATTACATTAGACTCACCTTTACCTTTATTCCAAAATATGGTAGCCAGATAAAAATTTATTTTAGTATTAAATGTATAAAATCTCAACTCATTCTTTTTTTTTTGGATCACATCAATTCATTTCTTAATATTTATAAATTAGTTGTTTGCTATTCTTATTAAGGATTGGAACAAGTATATATTAAACTCAATAATTCACTCACACTTAACATTCTAATTAGTACTTGATTAATTATATCAACCCTCAATACAGAGTGCCAGATTAGAGCCATAAATGTGCTTAATCATGTGCTTAATATTCCGCAAAGGCCTTTAAAAAGGGTAGCTTTCTAGTTCTGCACACATATTCTAATTAAGGAATTTGGTGTTTGTCCGTAGGTGGCGGTGGGGATGGCTTCCCTCTGCCTCATCCTCCCATTTGCTGCCATACCTAAAACTATATTATTTTGGAGTGTAAAATGATCGGTTTTGAATACCTTTTTTCTTCTTTCTAAATAGCAGATGGTATTTTGAAATATTTTTCAGTAGTAGCATTTAGTGTTTTAAAATAATTTTGATCACCTATTAGTTGAGCCAGTTGAGCTTATTTATGGAGCTACGTATATCCATAATCACCTCACATAAAAATATTAATTTGCTTAAATTATAACTGCATATTTAATCTTAGATAACTGTTTGGGAAACTCAGCTTAAGTATGTGAAAATAATTGAGTTGATCAATTTATCGCCAATAAAGTTGATTTACCTAAAGAATTATTTTTCTTAAGTAGACGGTGTAGAATAATGATAGGCCAACCCAATTATAAAGAACGTATAAAAATTGACTTGTTAACAATGATCAATACTCCCTCTGGCTCTATTTAAAAGCTTCAAATTCGGAAAGGGATATAGTCCATTTTATAAGTTTCAATTTGAGATTTGTCTTAACATTTAATACTTTTTTTTTTCATTTTTGCCTTTAATTATTTATTTTCTCTCCTTTATTACACTATCTCTTATCACATTTCTGCACACACTGTTTTTTATTCTTTTTCTCATTTATTATAAGGGTATATTTGAAAACAAAACTATATTTCTAACTTATTTATTGCTTCTGACTAATTTTAACTAACAATTTGTTATATGTAAATTAGTTATTTGAAGTTTATAATAAGAACCCGAGGGAGTATAACATTTGTGTTCCTTGCACGCATGATAAATACAAGCACCCAATATCAAAAGGGAGAATTACAATCAAGTCTCATACAAGAGAAGTAACTACTAAAAGATCCAATAACAACCTGAACAGTTGTAATGGTAAGTTCTAGAGTAGAGAATAACAACTTCTGAGACTTGTTTTGTAATTTTTTTTCCTTACATGGGACCTCATTGTATCCTCTCATATCAAACTGGTATGAGTTTTAGTGTTATGTGAAATGATATATATTAAGAACTCGTCTTGATCTAATTTGGATGTCAATTGAATTTTATTTTTATTTTTATTGTTTTAAAAAATTATTTTAATGTATACAGAATCTTTTCAAAAAAATTTTTAATCTAAAAATCATTAATTGAAAATTTCAAATTAAACAGTACAGATACAGCTGGTTCCGTACCAAAGCACTACGAGTCTACGATTGACCCATTAATTTACACATACCATGAATGAGTTCCTAACATGTATACGAGAAACAATAAAAGCATACATCAGTCTTTGCTAGGAAATGAAGTTACCTTATGGTAGATTAGAATTCATTTAATGCTTCTACCTCTGGCTAGATTCTATACATCACTCAGAGAGATGCAGTATATTTATAATAAGAATCGCACATACACCAAATTTCATGTCACAGCATTAATTTACCTCGGCAAAACTGACAGCAATTTTTTCCCATGGCTGGAGTAATGTTATAGTAATATTCCACAGCCTTAAATGGGCCCCAAATCCTTATTTTATTACATACTGATATACTCACGTTTCCCTTATTTAATATAAAAACTAGTTAATTAATTTGAGTAAATTAATAAAATTAATTATTTATAATAAATATGTATTGTCTTCTTTAAAATATTCTTGCCAACACCTTTACTATGTGTAACTATTATAAGGATACCTTAAAAAAGATGAATAAATATGAGATATAAAATGAACTGGGATATTATATTTAGAGCCAAATTGAATGTCAAACTAAATTTTTATATTAAGGATCGCAGATAATACATTGCCAGGTCAATGTTAATGTCCTCAATATCGGTGACAGTATACTTAGCCACCTCGAACCTAATTTGAACCATGATAATTAACTTAGATTCTTTTTTCCTTGGAAAAAAAAAATAAAGAACTCAAAACATGAAAGCTATTGGTCTGTTTCATCATTTGTCCGAACACATCTTAAATCACCTTGAATATACTTGGTAAGGTAGACTTATGCTTATATTACTACACATGAGTCATATACATATAACTACTCCACATGGATAATTGGTAGTACCAACATAGCTAACGAGACCTTGTGACAAATGAAGTAGAAAGAAAAGTTGAAGCAGGTGTGAATAGTGAAGGGGGAAGCTGTGTACAGGAACAATTGGAGTTATGCTCACAAGACTTTTAGTGAAGTAGAAGAAATCTTTCATTACGTTATTACGTTGCAAAGACAATACAGACGTTTTATTATATCTTTCAGTACGCTACAAAGCAATAAAGAGCAGACTCATAAATTTAAAATGCAATAGGATAATCATATCACACACAACATATTCGATTAGCTGAGCTTGGCAAAGTTGATAGCCATTTTGTCCACAGTAGGACTAACCTTGTAGTAATGTTTCACGTAGTCATCCACAACCACCTTTCTATAGGCATCATCATCAGCAGCCACAGGCTCAATTAGGGTTTTGGGCGGTGGGTTATAGAACAAAGCAATGGACCCACGTGCCACGTCCCTCAGAGGAACAACCCTATGCCACGTACTTTGAAACTTCCCATTGCTCATGATCTCCAGCAAGTCTCCCACGACCACCAGCAACTGATCCTGTGGCCATGACGCAGTGAGCCAGGTTCTGTCCTCGCGGTTGAACACTTGAAGCCCATGGCTCGAGCCGAACTGCGAGAGAAGGGTCAGGGCGCTTGGGTCGGAGTGAGGGTTCAGACCAAGGGTTTGGTCTGGGGAAGGGCATGGCGGGTAGTAATTGACTCTCAGTTTGATCTCACTGTCTTTGGGGTGGAAGTACTTGAGGAATACGTCGTCATTTCCAAGTGAAAAGGCTTCTGCTAAGTTCACAAGTATGGAGTCCATCACTCTTCTTGCCTCTCCCACATATGCTTCCACTGCTTCTCTGCAATAATATATTCCACAATACATACATATATATATATATAGTGTTACACGTATATATAGATACACACACACACATATATGCTGATGTGGTAATGAGAGAACTGTGAGTGAAGAAATTAAGGGACCTGAAATTGGATGGCTTGAGAGGCCAAACGTGGATATTCTCATGAGGAGCAATGGGAGGAAATGCTCTGAGACTGAGGCGATCCACCCAGTCCCATACTTGATCTTCGGACTTTACTGTGAAGTTTCGGCCATACCCCATATTATCTACGTCGTTACCGTAACTTCCCACGCTTGCTTTCTTCTCTTCATAACTTAACTCAAAGAACCCTCTTACTGCTTCTCTGGCTCCTTCCACTGTTTCCTTTGCAATCCCTGCTTGTTAATGATACAACAATATATCAGTACCCTTCTGATTCTGCGTTACTTAATTAATCTATGTGAACGTATTAGAATATTACAGTACCGTGATCAAGGATCAAGAAGAGACCCAAGTGCTTAGCAGCTTGGGCTAACTTGGCTAACTCTTGGGCTCGAGCCTTGGGTTCGGACCCATGCTTCAGAAGGGCCAAGTTTATGGTGGGGACATGCTGGAAGGCGGTTGGGGTTAGGGATGGATGGTGAAACCTCTTGAAGTGATCAGGCAAGTGTGTGAGTCCTCGGCGAGCAAGCTCTTGAACCACTGGGATCTTCAAGTTTCCGACTTTTCCCTCTTTGTCTAAGAATCTGCTTTCGTGGTAGCCTAAGTTGTCTCTCTCCATGCTCCTAGCTATAACCATTCGATTATGTTGCTGGTTTGATTGAGTCATATATATATATATTTAGTGGTTGGATGAATTATTGACTAAAAAGAAAGAGTACTGGTTAATAGAATCTGGAAAGATTTCATTGTTGGTATGACAGACAAAATAAGTTGACCCAGGAGGAAGAGGAAGCTTCGAGAGCAATTTCAAAACGTGATTTTCATAAATAACCTGACCCTTATCATTAATATATTCGTTCAAGAATGAAAAAAGAAGAAGTGATTTTCTAAAAATATCACACACACACACACACACACTGTCATATCATTGTGGAACACGCTGATTAAAAAAAAAAAAGAATCGCATAAATATTCTTTTTCTCTTTGTATGAGGCGTGAGAATAAGAACGATGGACAAATGTGTTTGAATATGTCTGAATTTGCGAAGAATGAAAATATTTGATTGAAATTAAGATGATAAATTGCAAAACTACTAATTCAATCAAAATAGAAATTATAAAGGCTTCTCTATGTGTATTATGTTAACATAAAAGCTAATTAAGGTCTTTTCGCAATCTTTATTCAATATAAACGTGTGAAGAAAGGCACTTTTCTTTATAATAAAATATTCATGAAAAGAGAGATCGACGTGATTAACGCGGGGAAAATAATGTTCTCAGTCAAAATGATTAACTTGCCTTTGCTGTGTTAATTAATAAAGAGATTAACCGACCACGCAATAGAAAAACCCATCAATCCGATCCCATCAATCCTGGTGGCATTTTAGACAGAATTAATCAATCTAGAGAACGAAATACATGTGTTTCTGTGTAATAATACTATACATACATATATATATATATATATATCATTTTAATACATTTGTCACTTTGAAGTTTTGGCTTTTTCTTAAATAGTTATCACTTTGAAATTTCAACGAGTGCAATTTAATCTTTTATTAATTCGAAGAATAGTATGCCAAGCCATTTCAAGTAATTAATCTCCTTTTAGGTAATTTTATAATTGCTCAGGACATACCTGCCAAATGGGATCCACCGCCCACCAACAGTTGATTCCCTAAAAATAAATATTGCTTGGGCACCAATCGAGTTAGATTTAGTGAAAGGGTCTAATGAAAAGAGCTAGCCTCATAATATGGCGAAATTAAGATTTAGATTTTCATTGGCAGAGGTGCTCATGCACTGGCTTCAAACAAAATTGATTTTGATAAGAAGCTACCTCTGTATAGTGTAAAAAAAAAACAATATTGATTGGAATCTTCTCAGTGGAACATATGTGATATCTTGGAAAAGCAAATTTAGTGACCAATTAGGTCCTTAAAATTTTCTCAAGAGGGTGATGTCCTTCTGAATGGGTGTAGAAATCTCCTTATTGCAACGGCAGCATTTGCCAGATAAGGATATATAATGCTAATAGGATGTTTGACTCTGGATGATTTTGTTTCTGCTTGTTTTTTTCGTCCTTTTGTTTTCTTCCAAGAGTTTGTCGTAATTCGTTGAGCGTTTATTAATATTATGGGTTCCTGATGGCAAAAAAAAAAAAAAAAGATAGAGGGAATTTTTAGTCATATCAAAACTCATTATAATTTATTGCTGGAAAAAAAACTCGTTATAATTTAGAATATTTAACAGGTTGATTTCGTCAGCTATGCATATAATATTAAATGATATCTACTTTGAAAAGGCAGTTTATAAACTAAATTGAAAGATCAAATCAGCATTAAATTACGTGTTAACACATCATATATAATATACTACAAGAGATGGATATATGTAAAATGAGCTTGCCACCTACGTAAGAATTCCGAACGTGATCAACATTGATCTATAGAATACAGATAGACGCATAGAGTTAGTTTTGCTTGCTCACATTATGTTTGGATGGTGAGAAACTTAGAGTGGGGAGAAAATAATAGAGGAGAAAATGAACTTTTTCTTGTTTGGATTATTAGAGGAGAAAATTGGGAGGGAAAAAAGTGGTGTGGATTCAATGTGTTTTTTCCCTCAATATCGGAGAGATTTTGAGGGGGCAAAAAAAAAGCCATTTCCCCATACTTGCCCCATTGTCACTCCACACCACCTCTCCACCCGAGCATTCATACCGTTTCCTCACGGCCTTCTGGTGAGCACTCTTCATTAATTGACTATTATACGTGTGTGGATTATTCTGCATATTATGTCCTTAACATAAGAACTAATTTGACTTTTAATTTAGTTATAAATATAAGACTCTAATTTATTTTGTTTCTTATATTTATTTATTTTTTAAAATAGTCTTTGCAATCGTTGCACATGTTAAATGCTTAACTAAATGGTAGTTTTAGTAAAGGTATTTTATGAAAAACAATATATATTTATTACAAATAATTAATTTAACTAATTTATTTAAACTATTTAAATTAGTTAACTAGCTTTTATATTAAGGATCAGATGTAGTATATATGTATGTAAGTATACATGACAATTAACTCAATTCTTTTTTAAAAAGAACTCGATCAGAACATGAAAGTTGTCGTTCTTTGTTTCATTTGTCATAGCACATCTTAAATCACTCTAATTATAAAATTGGTATGATTAAGTTATGCTTAAATTACTAATAAAACATGAGTCATCACTACTCAACATGCATGATTGTTACGAATTCAGCTCACGAGACCTTATGAAAAATGACGTAGAAAGATCTTTCATTACGTTAAAAAACAATAAACATTTTCTCACAACTTCCATTACGTTACGAGACAGGAGTAAAGAACAGATACATAAATCTTTATTTTCTGCTTTAGTCTACGCCATGGGATGCATATAACTTATAATAAAATAGGATAACCAGACACGCCACATTTAATTAATTCAGCTTGGCAAAGTTGATGGCCATTTTGTCCACATTAGGAATAACCTTGTAGTAATGTTTCACATAGTCCTCCACGACCACCTTCCTATAGGCATCATCCTGACCATCAGCAGCAGCCACAGGCTCAATTAGGGTTTTGGGTGGTGGGTTATAGAACAAAGCAATGGACCCACGTGCCACGTCCCTCAGAGGAACAGCCCTATGCCACGTGCTTTGAAGCTTCCCATTGCTCATGATCTCCAGCAGGTCCCCCACGATCACCAGCAACTGGTCCTGCGGCCATGACGCAGTGAGCCAGGTTCGGTCCTCGCGGCTGAACACTTGGAGGCCATGGCTCGAGCCGAATTGCGAGAGAAAGGTCAGGCCGCTTGGGTCGGAGTGAGGGAAGAGACCCAGGGTTTGGTCTGGGGAAGGGCATGGTGGGTAGTAGTTCACTCTCAGTTTGATCTCACTGTCTTTGGGGTGGAAGTACTTGAGGAACACGTCGTAGTTTTCAAGTGACAGAGCTTCTGCTAAGCTCACAAGTATGGAGTCCATCACTCTTCTCGCCTCTCCCACATATGCCTCCACTGCTTCTCTGCAATGTATTGTCCAATACACACACACACACACACAGTGTTATATATATATGTATATGTGCTGATATAGTAATGAGAGAATCGTGAATGAAGAAATTAAGGGACCTGAAATTGGATGGTTTGAGAGGCCAAACATGGAGATTCTCATGAGGAGCAATAGGAGGAAATGCTCTGAGACCGAGGCGATCCACCCAATCCCATGCTTGATCGTCGGACTTTACATTGGAGTTTCCGGCGTACCCTATATTATTTACGTCGTTATCGTAACTTCCCACGCTTGCTTTCTTCTCTTCATAACTTAACTCAAAGAACCCTCTTATTGCTTCCCTTGCCCCTTCCACTACTTCCTTTGCAATCCCTGCATATCAAAAAGTACGTTCTTTTTCCTGCATTATAATTACTTAGCCTCTGACTTCAAATAATTATGTGAAAAGGACAATATTCTATACCGTGATCATGGATCAAGAAGAGACCCAAATGGTTAGCAGCTTGGGCTAACTTGGCTAACTCCTGTGCTCGAGCCATGGGGTCGGACCCATGTTTCAGAAAGGCCATGTTTATGGTGGGGACATCATGGAAGGCGGTTGGGGTTAGGTTTGGATGGTGAAACCTCTTGAAGTTATCAGGCAAGCGTGCGAGTCCTCGGCCAGCAAGCTCTTGAACCACTGGGATCTTCAAGCTTCTGACTTTTCCCTCTTTATCTAAGAAGCTGCTTTCGTGGTAGCCTACGTTGTGTGTCTCCATGTTCCTAGCTATAATCATTCGATTATGTTGCTGCTTATTATTTTGATCCATGATTCACCCACATATATAGTGGTCGGATAAATTATTGATTAGGCAAGAACAGTGCTGATTAATGGTGAGGCAAAGATTTCTTTATTGGTATATCGAACAAAATAAGCTGAGACTCGGAAGGAGGTTGAGAGCAATTTTAAAACTTAATTTTCATATAGTTAACGTGACCTTAATTTATCATTAATATATTCGTTCAAGAATCCAACAAAATCTGATTTTGTAAGAATATAATATGTATTCTGTCATATCATTCTAAAAGACACCTAACTCTGCTCTTTTTTTTTTTTTATAAATAAAATATATTAAAAAAGGAATCGTGATTCTTCTTTTTCACTTTATATGAGAGGCGTGAAAATAAGAACGATGCACAAATGAGTTTTAATATTCCTTGTGTATTGTATTTTTGGACGGGTTTGTTAATGTAAGATTGGTAGACAAGCTTTGAAGTTAAGATGATAACTAAGTTGCAAAAAAAAAAATAAATAACACTAATTATAAAGGCTTCACTTTGTGTATTATAGCCTTCAACATAAAAGCTAAGGTCTTTCTTTTAAGGTTTATTCAATTATATCATTATCTAGACGTTGATTACTTTTTTTGCATTAATCACACGCTTCTATTAAATTTTTTGTTTTTTTGGTTTATGATCTTTATCCAATCATATCAGCACATAAACGTTCGAAAAAAGGGCACTTTTCTTTATAATAAAATATTCATGAAAAAAGAGACATGAATAAGACGGGAAAATTAAAGTAGTCTTCTCAGCAAAAATGATTTACCTGCCTC